TAGGGTAGTCTGGCATATAAAAGAGGGTGACAACGTGACGGGAGGGTAATGTGTGTGTAGACAGTGAGTAATTTATCTGCAGTCAGAGAGAGACGTATTGTTGAAGTTAACGTTCGTTCGTTATAGTGTTTGTTATAGCGCGACTGTTGAAAATAAGTGTATCGTAAAGTTGTATTCGGAAAGAATAAACCAGTTTTATTAAATAAGGACTTGTGTCGCTAAAGTTTCGTCGGAACGAAGTTACGGAAAGTTAATTAACAAACGGAAACGTAACAACATCTTATGCTGTAAGCAATTACATGCTTGTCAGTATAATTCAGCCACTGTTTTTTTGGATCCAAAATATACACCAGTTTTGAACTGTATTCGCTGCAGAGCCCCGAAGGTTTGACACATGTTCACAATAAACTAAGCTTAGGCAAAATAATATAAAATGTAAGCCTGTTAACAGTGTTTATTGTAGACTTGCACACCTGTAACTGTCAGTGTCGTTCTAGCCCATTATTTCTGCACGGTCACTGGCTTATAGTTCTACTAGTACGTCTGATCGTGTTATTTTCATTTCTATAAAAATCCTGCGGCATGCCGATTCACATTCAATTATGTCAAAGAAACATTACATGATACTACTTTTCTGAAATTGCTTCATCAGCACAATGCATCTAGAAGTTGGTCTGTAGATCTATAGCATATATGATAAAATACAGCTGCCAAACGAATACATGATGTTTCAAGTACTAGTAGACATAACTTAAATATGATCTAGGCCTAAACTGCATTGTTCACTGTTATACTAATTAATATATTGTGTAAATATCAGCCATATATTAATAAGTAAAAATCTCAGACATCTAAACTTAGTGGCCTAGAAATTTAGGTGGCACTGTTATACTGGGCCTGGCACATTGTAGAGGCGGTTAGGGGTGTTGGGTTCATATTAGAATGCTATTATAGAACTCCTATTTTTGAGATGAATTTAAAATATCTCTAGTCTGTAAGTTTTCAATAGGTCTATAGAACATCACTGAAGTAAAAATAAATTTATATAGACCTGGATCTCACTACTTAAACCTGCTATTTTGTGACTTGTGTTTATGTGCACCATTCATCACCCAAATTCCCCGCTTGCATACGCTAGAGTCTAAAATGGCATGTGCAAGCTTTGAAGCTTTCTAGTGTGTACGGCTAAGTGGCAAGATTATTTCTACAAGGAAAAATACAGTATTAAGTCCTACGTAACATAAATGGTGATATTCGCAGTCACTGCTATTATGATTATTATGCGTATAGCAATATGCCAGCTGTACATTGCACATTGCGATGCGAAACTGGCTAAATCGAGCCCTGCCAGTCTGACTTACATTTTACAGCTACTTATTACAGTTATTTTACTCGATTTTCAGGATATTTTCTGTTTCATGCACCGCGTTCAAATAGAAAGATATATATAAATATATATATATATATTTGAATGTGGTTTTAATGCTGATTTCAGAAATATAAATTAAAATTTGGAGAAATGAAAAATTTTTTAGATTTTTTTATTTTGCTAGGTTAGGTCAGTTTATGTGAAGTTAGATCAAGTTAGACTAATTAATAAATAATTACATGTTTATTTAAATAAAAAATAAATTTAATTAAAAAATCAAAATATTATCCTATTCTTTCCTTTTAAAAATCGATTCTCTAATCTGAAGCAAATTGAAAGTACTTGGAATGTGGATAAGTTGAGTTGTTTGAAGTTAAGCACAAAGCTACACAATGGGCTATCTGTGCTGTGCCCACCACGGGTATTGAAACCCGGTTTCTAGCGTTGTAAGTCCGCAGACATATCGTTGTGCCAGTGGGGGGCATGTGGTTAAGAGATGTAACAAACGACATTGTGGAACCAATCGTAACATGATTGACTCGTATCTCAGCGAGTTTGTTTGGCGTCGTAGGCATGAAAATTATTATCTCTTCAAGCAAATATTTAAGAATATTTCTGAATTTTCACATTGAATTTGTTACATTGATACTAGATACTTTGTATTGTCTTGATGTCTTGCAATTCTAATAAATACATAGGTATATATGTAATGCTAAAAGTACTTCCTTTGTTTCGTAAGCAATATAAAAATTATTAAAAAAATGATTTTAATTTCTTCAAATCATAATTTATATTTCTGAAATCAGCATTAAAACTACGTTCAAAAATATATATTTCTTTCTATTTGAACACGGTGAATGAAACAGAAAAGAACCGCTTTTCAATTTAAAGACGTTTAACGTTATAGAAGAAAGATCAACATAATTCAGTCACTTCTAGCTAAGATTGAAGTTTTAAAATAAATTAGTTTTATTTTGATGTTACACTAACATTTTACCCAGTTTCGAGGCTTAACTCAACCCAGTAATAGTGAAACTTATTCCATGCCTTAATTGCAGTGATGAAAGTTGAAATATATATGCAATTTTATTTCAAACAAAAAAATAGCATATAATTTCAAAAATAACATTTTACATTATTCGATATTTTGCCAGACAGTTTTTATAGGAAGCACAATGTCGTGTATTGTCATAGATTCTTTTTGTTAAGATTTTAAATTATTAATGCTATCATTTAGGGATCGTTCACGATATTTGTTATTGCATGAGCGTAAAAAACAAATATTATTTTTTTATGACCCCTTCTCCCTCTTAAGACTTACTCATGAAATTGCGAAGTTTTTTAAAGCTATACCACTGGACATTATTGTCATTAAAAAGGGGGCAGTGAAAAACAGAAACAAATTGCCGAATTTGCTGCTGGTCAGTATTTTTGTAAGCTATTTATTGATAACAAATGACGTCCTTTCGTCATTTTTTGAAACACTTGTAAACCTTCCCTCAGCATGCGTTTTGTTCGCTTGTAAAAATATATTTTTACCTCTTCATGTTTTAATAACGCAGTATTTCTTTCTTAATTCTAAATAAGAGCAAATGAAAAGCAAAATAAAGTTATAAGTTGCAAAAAATATTATACTTATTAGTTCCTTAGTGGCTCAGTGGAAGTCTGAAGGCTTATAACGTTAAAAATCGGGTTTCGATACCCGTAGTGGGTACATAATAGATAACTTAGTACTTAGCCTGGTGCTCGACAATAAACAAATAAATACTATAATTATTATTTTCTTCTTATTAAAATAGCGTGTTTCAGATACATTGGATATAATTAATAGATATTCTGTTAAAAAGCTTAAGACTACATAATTATTTTATTCCCAAGATATATAACTTACTTTACAATCTCGTTACTTATCCTTTGCTATGCTCATGAAGTTAATTGTGTATATGTGTACCAATTAACCTTTTTCCCACATCACAGATTTGACTGAAGGAACCTAAAAGCGATGCTAGGGAATCCCTTAGCACATTGATATCCATTATTAGTGTATTATTGATGTATTTATACAAAAGAATCTGCATCCTTTAATGCAGTTTGTCGAAATCAAAGATTTTTGGAACACCTTCAATACATCTTCCAGGAATGAGATACAATAGAAGATTTAAGTGTTCCATGTGGCTGACCGCGAAGGCCTTCAATGGATGCATTTTTTTTCTTTTATATTTTTTATTCTTTCCACACAACTTTCAGAAAACCATTAGCAACCACTTAGTTAGATGACTTTCCTTAAAGAGGCTGAGCTTGTCATGCGTCAAACAACCACGTGCGGCTGAAATACACCGGTGATTGGTTACAGCTCTTGGGAGAACTAGAGAAAGTATAACTTGAGAGACTGGGAAAGAGATAGTCAGTTCTTCAGAAGAATATACATTTTGTCTCTCCTCTCCAACTCTGAAGTATGCAAGCGATAAACGCTGTTACAGTAAAGGCAAAGTTTCCCATCAAAAGCTACAGTGTGGAGGTAAGTTCAAGATTTTAAAATAAATTTTCGTCTCAGTTTAATCTGATTTAACTGTCTTTGCAAAGGTGAGCATTTATTTTTACCATCATAAAAATGGAATCAGCTAATCTTACAAGAACTTTCATTACAAACTTCAAGAAACAAAAGACTGACAGTTCAGCGAGTGGTAAAAAATGAAAACTTTCTATCTAAAGATGGTTTTTACTCGAACAAGTATATAATTTATTCGCCGAGTTTTTTGAAAATTTAAAAAATCAACCTCAAATATAAATACATGATAAATTTCATTGTCTGTTCCTTTGAACTACCTTTAAAAAGTTAGTTCAAAGCTGTTTTTATGAATAATTGATAACATCTGTAGAACTTTAATCTGATATAAAAACTATCGACCAAGATTTCTTGAATTAAAAAGCTCATAAAGTATTGAATAAAGTCTCGATTTTAGCAAATAATGTTATCCTTTCATACTTTTATCTTTGTTGAGTTTGCTTTTTCCTTTAATGAAACTGATGTAAGGACCTGTGTGACTCTCGCTGTTAAATGCAGTGACAGAATTATCTTCATTGTCTATAAAGAAAACGAAAATTATCCTTTTATGCCTAAAAAAATCATTATGTGCGGTAGTGTGTCGTGCGGCCAGAACAACCTGCTGCAGGACACACTGGGTGTTATTAACAGGAGCGATAGTTTAGCGAAAGTCCACCTTCTGTATCTCGGAGTGTGTTATTTCGAACTAAGACATATTTTCAATGGATGTGCTCTACTGAACTCTTACTTCACATGTCAAACTTCAAAGCAATCTATTAAGAAATACATGATATGTAACATTTCCAATTTTGATTGAGTTTCTTCCTATTTTTTTCTTCGCACCAAAAGTACGGAAACTTTATTTGATAGAAAACATACTTAACTTTTATGGATCTTTTTCAAATTTTATACCCTGATAGATCTTTACAACCTACAATTAGGTGTTTCAACTGGTGTAAATATATGTGACATGTACAAAAATATTCAATAAAAACCTCTCAAATTTGACGAACATTTTTGCGCACGCCTATGCAAAAGTCACGTGAGCTATCGGTCTAACATTTTTACTACAGCTTCACCTAAAAGTTAAAGTGGACCGTTTTTAGTTTTTTGTAATTCGGATTAAAGACGGCTGATTTAGAGCAGCAAAATTATAAAGTGAAAGACGTGCAGATACATAAGTATTGGTTAGGCCAAGCAAACTAGATTAACTATTTCTAGCTCATGTTTTCAAAAGAATTATACGGGTGGACAGTTATTATTGATTATTCATTGCCAGCTTTTCAGCAAAAATTTACTAAATTTTATGAAATTATCCTAATCAAAGAGCGTTTAGCGTCATGTGATATTAGTTTAAGCAATTAGTATAAATAATGATGCTTGATACGTCTGTACCGATTGCATATGGGTGATGACAAGAAATTGTTAATCTAAATTCCATGGCGTTACTATAAAGGAAGCTATTAACACTGTTTTAGAGAGGAAAACTACCACCATATATTTTAAAGAATCTGGTTGGTTCTGTTCCGAATAATAGGGTTACGATCCTAAAGCTATTGTTGGTTACTATCGAGTGTCACTTTTTTCTTACTTGCTGTGGCTTGTTGGTGTGTATTGACAAAAAGTCGTGATATCTAATCAAAAACACCTTAGGTGTCAAAAAAAGGTGAGTCCAAAAGGGGATCGAGAGTGCGTACTTTTTTTTTTTTTTTTTGTTCAACTTGGGGCATGTTGGTTAGTAAAACAAAATAAGCGGCCTAGCTAACTAATGAATGAATATTTGCTGTAAAATTCTTATCAATGCTATAAATGTACCTACCAGTTTGGCTGCCAATTTTGAATTCATTCCTTTAAGTCACACACTCAATCCTTATTTGGCCGCACCTTTTTTCACACGTAAGGTGTTTTTGATTATATATATATATATAACAAATTAGAGTTGGAATAAAGAATAACTCAGAGAATAATACAGTATATAATCTAAACCAATCAAAGAGAATTTACGCTAACAATGGTCAAGCTACATTATTGTACAACAAACGTCTCACATTCTCTGTACAAGCCATACTTAGTAAACATTAATGCAATATGGTCACGCTAAAAGTATCCGTGCATCATGAAATTACCCAAATATTCAAACATATTTATTTTAGCGATTTTTATTTTAATAAATTAACTATTTCTTACACAGTTTTAGAACCTACTATTTGTCAGTTATTTTAATAAAAATATTCTATACACATAACCTTTTTTAGTTAATATCTTATACACATAACCCTTTTTTAGTTAATATCTTATACACATATCCCTTTTTTAGTTAATATCTATCTAATTTAAAAGTATCCTTTAAATAATTGAAATTAGAGGTGAAAAAACGCAATATGATCACTAGGGTCTATTGTTAATAGGGTAATTTTTCAGGTTTCAAGTAAATACGTTTCTAGTATTAACTCGTTCGTTATTTACAAAATACGAGAAGAATCTTAAAAGTATGTATGATAAATTTTGTCCCAACATTGAAATATCAAGATCCAATATCTACTAATTGTTTTGTGTTTCATTTGCATAAGCATTCTGCGCAGAGAAAATGCATTTATCACCGAAATATGGAAGAAAAATATAGTTTTGAATGAACTTTAAATATCAAAACATTTTAAACAGCGAAATTAGACTGCAGAAATCAAATGTTCTGGTATCTCAAAGCAAAATAAGGCGCCAAAATATGTGGAATGAAATCAACCCTTGTATCGGTTCCGACTGAATCACTTTGACTCAGCTTTACAACGCTTCACAAAAAGTAATGTTTCTCTAAAATTAACAGATCTTTCAGCACACATTTTCTAAATAGTTGTTTTGGCAGATCACCCCTTCGAACTTTTTTATGTCACATAATGAAACAGACTTGTCCACCTTTTTTGTAGATGGTTATTTTCTTACTTTAAAGTCTCCTGAACAATCTCCGCATTCTTTAACTGCATGAATAAAGAATATAAAAACATAATTTACGCATTTGAATTTGATAATAACTACAAACTTTCTTTCTTTGATACTCTAATCATGCGCACAAGTTGAAGTTTTGAAGTTGAATATTGCCACAAAACATCGGATTTATTTAAAGTTTTATTTCTCATTATTTTAATACAAATTTACTTTCTGTTCTTGTATACAAGACTTATAAATTAACTAGCTCTTATAAATTATTTCATAAAAACTATCAAATATTGGAAATATACTTTGTTAAGCACGCATATTCTGGTCATTTCATGGATATGTTTTAAGTTCTAAGACTTAGTGGCCAAAATATATCTTCAAGTCTCACTACGAAACATGTTTCGAAAGCATTAAGTCTTTAAAGTTTCTCCATATTAAACATCAAATTCGTTCTTCGTTTATTATACATTTATTTAATTTTTTGACTTGTGTAAATCGGTATGTCCGAAGCACTAAAAAACGGTATTTGAAGCATGCACCAGAAAGTCCGAGAAACAAATCGCATATCTACTGATACGAGTAGGATCAGTTTCATTAAGAGGAATATAAGTTATTTTAAAAAGTGGGGGTTGAAAAAATCATATCTTAGGTTCATAAAAATTACAAATTACGAAAACGAGTCTGTCGAAACTTTACGGATTTACAATATTAAAATAAGGGGTTCGATTCACCGCGGTGGACACAGCAGATAGCCCATTGTGACTTTGCTCTAACATAAACACAAACACATCTTTACGAATGTAAAACCCCTCTTCTAGTATTACACAGTATAAAGTCTAAGGACCATAACCAAATCTTTTATAAAAAAAATCGTAAATACTTATTTTACACTTTATTTATGTAAAAAAAGTCGCCAAAACCAGATGTATGAATGTTTTTCACAGTTTATTAGGTAGAAAGTATTATAAAATACATTAAAATAGTACTTTTTTTTCGAGATATATCTAGAAATACTTTTTATATCAATTTTTGGACGCTGTACTGCGTCAAAACTTATTTTTTACGATTTCCACGGGTACCAGAAACGACAAGATGGCTTTGATAATTATCTTGGTGCATAAACATATAATAGAACTGCTAAATCACATGTTTAGAAGGGAAAATTTAAAGAAAAAATTATTATACAAGTAAATAACAAAGTTAAAAAAATTAAAAATTAAGTTTACGTCTTATAATTTCAAAGCCCTCCAAGTTATATAAGTCGTATCTGATGCTTTTCTCTAACTGCATGTGGTCAAAACACACGTTAGATGTTTTTTCCAGAGTGTTTGTTTGTTTTGAATTTCACGCAAAGCTACACGAGGGCTATCTGCGCTAGCCGTCCCTAAGTTAGCAGTGTAAGACTAGAGGGAAAGCAGCTAGTCATCACCACCCACCGCCAACTCTTGGGCTACTCTTTTACCAAAGAATAATGAGATTAACCGTCACATTATAACGCCCCCACGGCTGAAAGGGCGAGCATGTTTGGTGTGACGGGGATTCGAACTCGCGACCCGCAGGTTGCGAGTCGAGCGCCCTAACCACCTGGCCATGCCGGGCCTTTTCCAGAGTGAGTTGTATGTCCAGATATTGCTGCATCATACCAATCATGTAACTCAGAAAATCAAAGATTAAACTCATACATCGGAATTTGACAGAACGTTCAGACAACTTTTCTAACAACTTAGTTCCACGTTTCTCTGACGTTTACTTATACTAGGAAACTTTTGTCAATTGAAGTGAATTACAACTAACTGTTTTTAACAAAAGCCGTAGAACAACGTTGGTTTTAACTCCGCATTTTGTGACGGAAGAAGACCGAAATGTTCCTTGAGAAATATAATGTTGTCATTAGAGGTCCTAAAGAAGTCTTAACTTAATATGTATTCTCATTTACTATACCCCTGCTCCCCCCCCCCAGAATAAATAAACAAACAAATCACATATAACAAACATTTCTACAGCTTCTGATAATGAGAACGGTTATTATTTCTTAATTGTTT